TCTGAAGTTATCCTGACAATTCGAGACTCTGAGTTTAATAAACAGTGTATAACTGGGTTTGGACTATCTTCGTTTCATTGTTTCCTGGATGTGATTTGCTCGGCTTTTCTCTATGACTGGTTGTGAGGATTGAGTGGAGTGAATTGCACTTTCAGTGTACCCTTTCATATCGCATGGTCAAGTCTTCCGGTGTGTTATCTCTCCTTGTGCGGGACGCATGTGGTTTAGGAGTATCTATATGGTGCGCACACTCTTCTCCTCATGGTATAGGGATAGGGGCAGTTGCAACCCCTATCAGCGGTTGCCTTTTGCTGCCTGTGCAACAAACCGGGCTTCTCTATGATGTGCCCCGGATCACCGCAATAGATGCATTGGTCCTGGTCTATACGCCTCTGCCATACTGTCTGTTCTAAGCCCAGATCTTCCCAAGGCCTACTCTGTGGCAGACCAGGGTGCCATCCACCCCTCCTAGGTGATCGATTGAAACTAGAGCGGTTTTGCGGTGGACCTTGACCCCTACCTCCCGCTTGGCGGCCTCCTCCGCCACCAACCCCCTGATCGCCCTGTCCTCGACCACTGGAAGCTTGGCCCCCTTGGCCCCGGCCTCCTCCTCTACCCTGCGGCCTCCCTCCAGCCGCGACAACAGCGTAAGTCCTCCCCTGACTATCGTCGCTGTCCTCCTCCTCCAGGCCCCACTCTATCTGGATGTAAGGGACCAGTTCCATACCACCCTCATCTAATGTAAGGATCAGGTGATCCTTGCCCTTAACCTGACCTGAGATGGTACGACCTTTCCACTTCTTTCCCTTATCGAGGTCCTTATGCCAAAAAGTGGAAACTGACATGGACTGCGCTTCATACGCTACCACTTCCCTACTCAGAGTATCGTAGGTCATGGTAGACTCCCTACTCTTCTCAAAGAAGTGCACGCGCAAAGGCTCGGGCATGGCACGATAGAATAGGTTGACTAACTGGGTCTAAGTGACCCCATGATGAGGAACGACGACCAACTCATTCATGACACCCTTGAGTGCCCTGACACTCCTCCACTGGCGGGAATGAATGGTCTGCAGTTCGTCAGAAGCTCTAATGCTTCGTGTGACATCTGCAAACCTCTCGCGCAATAATTTGAAAAACTCGCCGAGAGGGGTGATTGGAGAATAGGAAACCATATCGTTATTGCACTTAGCAGCGCGACGAAGCGACCTGGCAAAGCTTGCTACTTCGTCTTTGAGAGCATGGAAGGCTATGAGGACATGTTTGTCAGGAGATATCTTTTGCAAATGCACGTAGGAGTTCACATTTGCCTCCCAATTATTGAAGCTTTCCTCCTTCCCACTGTAGGAATCAGGGAGCTTCACCTTAACGGGCTCTCTACGGGGATGGTGCAGCCAGCTTTGCGCCTTCTATGGCGCCTGTGCAGAACCGCTCTGTGCTCTCTAGCCTCGTCTTTACTTCCGAGCCCACGAGCATTATCATTTCGCATGCAAATTCTCTAAACCCCAATCGAATTGATCGCAGGGCTATGTCCTGACTCGTCCCAAATTGATATTGCTCCTCTTGAGCCTGTGCCAGGCATTCTATATTTCTCGCCATCACCTCCATTTTTCCTTGCAAATCCGCCTGGGCCTCCATCTGTGCCCTTCGCTGTTTCACCTCCTCCAGTTCTTTCGCCGCCTTACTTGCCACCTCCATCCTCTTCTTCTTTTCTCTGGCCAGACGCAACTTCCACTCCAACTTCTTCTCCTTCTCTATCGTCTGCCGTTTGAGAGGATCTTCTTTGACTTCCAACTCTTTAACGACTGTCTCGTGTTCTTCCCTTGGGACATATAACATCGTCTCCTCCTCTTCTCCCAGGGATAGATTGGCGACCCACTCAGACACCTTTTTTTCCAACCACTGGTCCCCCTCCTTCTTCGTACCACTAGACTCCCCTCTGTTCCTGAAACTCCTTCTGATCAGGGGAACTTCCTCTTCTACCTTTTCTCTTCTTTTTCTTCTTCTGCTTCCACTGTTTTTAATTTTTCTTCCTCCTTCCTCAACTTTTCCGACTCTTCCTCCAACTTTTTTCTTTTCGCGGCCTGCTCCTCCAACAAGGCCAACTTCTGGTCCTGCTTTACGACGACCCTTTTTTCTTTCTTGGCCTTCTGCTCGGCCAGAATCCTCGCAGCCTCCTCCTCCTGTGCCTTGGTGTAGGGAGTGGTACTAACACCACCCCTGGTCAGTCAGTCATAAGAGACGACCTTTAGCCCTACTCAGCATGTGTGGGTTTGGTCAACAAAGCTCTACGACCTCATACATAGAGTTCCTATCACCTGGACAGAAGAGACTCAATGCAGAAAGAAGTGATAGACAGACTCATCAAGCACCATGGGGTGAGTGCACATCCATAGGGCGAGGGAATAGGCTGAAGGCTTGGCGAGAATATACCGACTCCAGCTTGGTCAAAGTTGTGGTCAACAGCTCCGGTCAACACCTTGGTTAACGCTTGGTCAACGTCGGTCAAACCCTCGGTCAACACTCTGGTCAACCTCGATCAACTCCCCAGTCAATGCTTTGGTCAACCTCGGTCAACTCCCCAGTCAACGCCTCCGTCAATGCCTTGGTCAACTCCGGTTGACTTCCCGGTCAACACCTTGGTCAACGCTCAACTTGGCTATGGCTGCTGACCCCTTCCTTCCTCACCAACCTCCGATACTCTTCTTCTCCGTCCTTCCTTCTTTCTTCCTTTCTTTCTCCTTCACCCCGGTTATGGCTTCTTTCTCCTTTGTCGTCCCTCCTTCCTCTTCCTCAGCTATGACTTCTCTTTCCTCCTTCGTCTCTCCCTCCTCCTTCACTCGTCTTCTCTCTTCTCCCTCCGTGTCCGAGCTCCGCGGCTATGGCCGCCTTCTTCCTTGGACCGCAGAACAATCTTGTATT